ACCAGTTACTATTGGACAACACATTATGATTGGAAATGCTAATTTGTGTGAGGTAGCAGCCTTAAAACATCCATCACCTGAATTTTCTCTATGGTTGCCGTAAGCTCGTAACAGTCAACCACAAAGACTCCTTCTTGTTCAATTTCCAGAAGAATATTGCCTCGTTTAAGTCGGACATAATATATCCAAACTGGTAAACGGGAAGTATTGATTCGCCACAACGCATGAAAGTGTAGCGACTATGGCAAATTTCACAGTATGAGAAGCTAATTTAAGGCAGTAGACTATAATGGTGTAAAAAAGAAAGAAAAAAAAATAAAACAAGTTCTATAACAAACAATCCCTGTGTTGGATACATGAGCGTATTGATAATTTTACCAACTTTATAAAAATCTATTGATTTCAATTGTCTTGTCCCTTATTATTAAAATTTGTTTCAACGGAACGATTTGCCTAAAAATATCACAACACAGAAGCCTTTTTGAATTTTATTTTCTACCTCACTGAACAAACGATCTCGAGAATATTTTAAATTGATATGTTGTGACAACAGATGATATATTGGATATTGCCGAAAGCGATTTGTAAGGAAAACGTTCTATGGTTATCGATATTTATGTAAAAAACCTAAAAAGTTATTTTGATTGTAAGTGGCGTTTTTGAGTGCTTAAATAAACTAAGAAACTTCTTCGTGTAAGAAATAGTTCCATATATCGTCACTATTACGTAATATCAAATCAAAGAACATTAAAAATTAATCGCACGCTCGGCAGTGAAAGGAAACATCAAAATGTATAACGAAATTCGCCAACACAAATTGGAGCAGCACTGTGCGCTTATTAGTCCTAACCCCCGTCAAAAATGAGAGAAGGCCCTTGCCCAATGGTGAGATATACAAAGGCTGTAACTTTTCTTTTTACTTTGTAATGTAATAATAAATAATTTTATAAGGTCGGGGAAAAGTGTTTTCGTATTTTAAACACAAATTCAAGGTTTTTTTTTAAATAATACTTGTTTTTAAAAATTTTATCCCGTATATTTAACTTTTTTATATTCCCGACGTTTAGAGCACTTTACATCACCAATGGTCACGGAGGGGACGGAGATGTTCAACGTCCAGATGTCATAGAAAACCGCGGCTACCACAGATTAAAATTATGAATTTTTTTGTTCCAATCTACACTGTATGAACTTATAGTATCTTGAATTTTTGCAGTTTTATGCTTGAGTTGGGATTTAATTTTATCAATTATAAGATCCCAAGCAGATGGTAGCGCCCAGCCATCTCCTCTGTTGAAATTAGGATGTTTTATTTTATTTCAATAGTCTTGCGAATCATCCTTGGAAGGAATTGGTGTTCTTTAGCAAGGATTTGTAGTTTATCAAGTCTGATGCAGTGATGGGGGCGATCTAGTACGTGTTCACAGACTGCAAACTTCAAAGTTAATATATGCGATAAAATCCGTAAAAACCAGTATTATTTAAATGTGTAGTGCTCGCGTAAACATAAGAAATAGAAAATATATATATATATATATATATTTTTTTTTTTTATTATGAAAAAGCAACAAATAATTTTGATAGTCCTCTCTTGATGTTAATCTAACACTAACCAAAGAATTCTGAAGAGACCGAAACAGTTAAAAATCTGCGGGTACAAGCTCACGACTATGAGTAGATGTATTAATGATCATCATCATCAACACAGCCCCTCATAAGTCGATTGCTGAACATAGTCCTCCCCAAAGGAATGCCACGAAGCATGGCCCTGAGCCACCTGCATCCATCGACTTCCTGCATGTCTTACCAGGTCGTCACTCCATCTAGTGGAGGTTGCCTACACTACGCATTCTGATACGAGGCTGCCACTCGAGAACCTTTTTTCACCATCGCTTGTCGATTCTTCGGGCTATATGACCGGCCTACTTCCGAATATATCGAATTTATTCTTTAGATTCACTCATTTTAGCTGACAGAAAAACAATTTAAAAATGGCGAGAAAGTGTTTTATTATTTACCAGCCAGATACAAACAGTACATCCAAAGACTTTTTTCTTGAATTATATATTTTTTTATAAGATAGGGTGACAAACGAGCACACAGTCCACCTGATGGTAAGTGGTTTATATTTATATCATAGTGGTTTAGATGTAGATGTCTGTGGCTCATAGACATCTACATCTATCCTCAATTACGAATCAAAATGCAGATGCGTTGTCACCCGTGAGGACTAAGATGGAATGCCTTGTTGTCAGTAAAAGGGGTCTCCGGTTCTCTACACTCACCATACGAAACACAGCAGCTATGGTGTGTAGAAGTAAGGAGTACAGACTGTGTATTAAAAAGTACCATACATAAAAACCATTAAATAAGGGTGGCGCCACTATAACTACGTGGTGAATTTTAAAGAACGCACCGAAAAATATTAGTGGGATAGACGACTTTTCGAGGTTATTTTTACTAAATAAAATTATTTTAGAAATTAGAGCTACCGAGCAGTTTAGCACCACACTTAAACCGTCGACAACTGCTAAGTTCATTTCATCCCAGTAGCTACTCCAGCGCTGTTGTGGAGAGTTTTGATAGTTAGAACTGTTATTTACTGCTTACAGATGGCCACTTTTTTAACTGTTCTACTATAGGAGTTGGTACTCCTTACTTCTACACTCCATAACAGCAGCATTAAGCTACTATTTGACGCTGGTATTCTGTGAGAGCGTGGTCCTTCCCCGGTCGAACCGACCCAATGATGGGTTCCATCGTATGGCAAAATGTGTCTTAAATACTTCGAAAAGCAATAAATATATTTTTAAATAGTAATGTTGTGTCACTTCCTTGAATTCCGAAATTTTCAGTGCCGCCCTCGTATACGCCTTATATGTTTTGATGTTTCCTTTCACCGCCGAGCGTGTGTTTATTTTTTAATGGTCTTTGATTTGATATTATGGAATAGTGACGATATATGGAACTATTTCTTACACCAAGAAGTTTCTTAGTTTATTTAAGCACTCAAAAAACGCCACTTACGAGAAAAATAACTTTTTAGGCTTTTTACATAAATATCGGTAACCATAGAACCTTTTCCTTACAAATCGCTTTCGTATTCGTGCTACAACTATACTACTAATATAACTGCAGCACGGCTCTACCACGTATAATATATATATATATATATAATATATATATATATATATATATATATATAACACAAAGTACGTAGAAACTTTTTCCCCGACATATTATCATGTCATCATTTCATCATCATCAATTTAAAAAAAACAAATGTGAATGTGAATATACAAGATCATCCATTGCAGAACTCATAACGAAAGTATATGGTCGTGATGACCATCGGGATGAAAATTTAAGTTGAACAGATTTTCATTCGAAATAAGATTTACTGTAAGACTTAGCGGGGTCGTGTTTTAACTAATATCGACTTACGCCCTGGGCAAATTCTTTCGGTGGTGAAAAAAATCAAAAATAGGATAAAAGAATGGCCGTATATCAATTTTAAAAAGTCGAGTTTGGAAATGCTCGATCAAATGTTGTAGGGACTGACAACTGGTGTCAACTGCTGCCGATAAATAAATTTAGTAGCGGATCTAAGATGGCGATAAAAACCAAAAATAATGCATTAAATGAAATGAAAGGACTTAGAAACATGTCTAGAAATACCTAAAAAAATTATATGATATATCTTTTAAATTGTGTAATTGATAGAGAAAAATTGTTTAATTAAGAGTAGGAAAAACGAACACACATATATGTGGGCTTGTTTTTTACTATAAATTTTTCAATTATTTAAAAAATAAACAATTTTCATTTTCGTTTTTGCCCGCGTGAATCTCGGAAAACGACATTATTTCGAAAAATCACAAATCATGTTTTAGGCATTTAATTATAGGTATATATTACAACCGTAAGGACCAGGCCGACCGCGCAACTAAATCGCACCAGTGCGCTCGCCCGCGATTCGGACGACAGTGGCGTGCGCGCAGGACAGATTTGCCTGTCATAAATATGCCTAGTTGGGTGGTAAAAGGATGCAAAAATTACGATACAAAACTTATAAAGGAATATGGGATATCGTATCATCGGAAAGTAACCTTATGTTAATTTTGTTACAATAAAATTATTATATAAATGCATTTTTAAAATTTTGTTTTAAAGTTAGTCGGCTTAGTTACGTTACGCCAAAGTTGGATTCAGACCCTCAATAATAGTATACATGGATAAGAAAATTATATTATTTGTGAAAAATTATAATATCATGTTTGACGTTTCATGTTTAATTTTTCCCAAGGGCTGGGATTTTGGTATTCCGCGTATATATACGTTTCATTTTTTAACGATTTTATTATTATTTCTGTTTTATGTTTGTCTATTAACTTAGTGTAAGTTAAATTTTGAATATTGACACCTAATTGTTTACGTTGTGTAAAAGTAATAAATTGTATATTTTATCTGTACAAATATTATAAAGCTGAAAAGTTTGTTTGTTTGCTTGAACGCGCTAATCTCAGGAACTACCGGTGCCATTTGAAAAATTCTTTTAGTGTTAGGTAGCCTATTTATCGAGAAAGCCATATATATCATCACGTTAAGATCAATCGGAGCGGAGCTCCAATGAAAAATATTTCAAAATCGGTTTTTTTTTTTTCATTTTGAGAGCTTCCGCTGCGTGCGCTGCGTAAACAGTTAAAGATTCGCAAAAATCATGTACGACAGAATTGTTCCCCTTTAAAGGTTTTAAAAAAATTCGCGACAGCATTATATGTCTATCTTTTAAAGTTGGCTCACTATAACCTTATTAATGCTAACCAAATTTGTTCTAAAATAATGCATTATTTGCGAAGGTGTTTTTATGAACATGATATTAATGCTTATCCAAATAAATACGTTATTCATTACAAGTATTTAATTTTTGCCCTCTACATCATTTGATTTCAATGAATATCTTAGGAGATATCGCAGTTTTAAAATAACATCGCAAAATAATGACTGTGCGCGCATTTATGATGTGCAAGGCGGGCAGTCATGAGGGCGGAGGGCGGTGGCCCCAGTGCGCTCTGCGAGATACCACGCCGCGCTCGCCGCCGCAGCCGAGGCTGTACCGCCCGCCACCTGAGGTGAGCCACATAATGCTGCTGATGCTGCTGCTGCTATCGTTCATGCCGTGCGGCTTCTGGGCGCGCGTGCTTTCTAATGCTGCGCTCGCGGCCGCAGCGCCGAGGCTCTACCGCTCTTACCGGCAGAGGTGAGCCATACACTGCTGCTGCTGTCGTATGCACCGTGCAGCTTCGGGGCGCGCACGTCGTTGTGTAAAAGTAATAAATTGTAAATTAATTCTTTTTAAAAAAATGTCCCGCTGGGTTTCTTTCTGGTTATTCGTAGGACGGGGGTTTTCTTGGAACCTGTGGTAGAAGTACTATATTGAATAAAAATAATTCTATTCTATTCATCCCATACATCACATCATATTTCAATACCTTCCGACATATATAAATAATTTATTTAAATTTTGTTGTGCTGATATTGTGAGCCTCATTCCCTGATTATGAAATGATATACAAATATTATACGAGACTGTATGATATACATAAATTTGTAATGCCTGTAAAATTACTAAAATGTTATGTATTACCTGATTATGTCTAATACGTGTGTTGTAGGTATGCCTAAGAACACTATTACTCCTAGCGGACACGCTTTACGGAACGCTTGTGCTTATCAAACTACTTTTTAAAATTTGTTTTTCCAATATATCATCGTATAGTACTTTTTAGATAAATTATGTTTTAATAAGAAAATAGGATAAGTTTTGTTTTAGTTAATTTATTTTTGCGAATTTCCTTATCTAATTAGATACATCATTTGATTTTGTAGTATTTCATTTTCTTTAGGGTATTATTTTTGATTTTGTAGTATTGTATAGTTATTCTTTTACCGTGAATAGGTAATAACTTATCGTATTATAATTACTTTTAAGTAATTATTTTTTGAATTATTCTTATTCTTACATAAATATTATATATATATATATATATATATATATATATATATATATATATATATATATATATATATATATATATATATAAGTAAAATGCCTAGAAAAAGATCTCAACTTTCTTGGCAATCTGCTACTGCAAAACGGCTGCGACTTCTGCACAGCAATTAGACAGAGGATGAAAATAGGCATATATTGGCTACTCAACGCGTAATCTATGATCAAAACGCGCTAGAGAAACAAGCGTTGAACGGACACAACGTTTTGCTTCATAAAATTCCCGAACTTCGGCGAATCGACAACAGGAATCAAGTACTGAACGTTCTCAATGTTTTGCCTCACAGAACTCCCGAACTTTAGCAAACTGCGAGCCGGAAACAAGCGCTGAACGTTCGTTACGTTGGCCTCACAGAATTCGCAATCTTTAGCAAACCACGCACAGGAAACAAGCGCTGAACGTTCGCACCGTTTGGCCTCACAGAATTCCCGAACTTTAACAAACCGCGAACGGTAAACGAGCGCTGTACGTTCTCAAAGGAAAACGTACAGCAGCACAGAATTCTCGAACGTTGGCAAACCGATAACGGGAATCAAGCGCTGAGCGTTCCCACCGATTAGCTCAACCAAAGAAATGAAAGCTGAAGCTTCTGGTCTGTGTTGTAGTGGTGGCAAAGTAAATATACCTAAAATTCCCGAACCAACATCAGTTTAAAAAAAACTGATATCATGGTCACATCCTTCATCAAAACATTTCTTGAACCATTTAAAGCAATATAATACACTTTTTCAGACGACTTCATTTTGTGGCAAAGAAATTCGAGAGGGGAACTTTGTGCCCACATTTAAAGTGCAGGGGCAAATCTATCTTTCTTTTTTTTAACTCAAGCTTTTTTACAGTGTTTAATGGCAAAAAAGAGGTTTACCTCACGCCCATTGGCTAGCAAACAAAGTACAACTGGATTTATAGATGAAATAATATCGGCTGAAATACCTGACAACAGGATCTCATGCTTCATAATATCATCATAAAAACATAACACATGGTCCCTGTTAATTTCATAACCCTACTTCACCATGTATAAAATAAAAAAAATTGTTTTAAAAAGTACCCTATAGGTCTTTTATTTCTGAAACACAAACTGGTGATGACGGTTACCTAACTTACACAGTCCAGATAATGGTGGAAGCACGGGAATTGTTCATGTGAAAAGAACAGATATGAGCGTGTATAATAAATAGGTGTGTAGTTCCTTGTAATCCAGTCCTATCGTGTAGTTTCAAAACGAATATCAACGTATAATTTTATCAATCGGTCAAAGCTATTAAATAGATTCGTAAATGTATTCATAAATGTTCTGATCAAGCTACATTTTCTTTACAAAATATTAACGATGAAGTAGAAAAATATGTAAATACTCGCTATATTAGTGCATCTGAAACGTTTTAGAGAATTTTCCAATTCTCTATTCGTTAACGCTTCCTGGCAGTTATTCATTTAGCAGTTCATTTGGAAAACGGACAAAGAATTGATTTTAATAATAAAAATCTCTAAAAGATATAAAGATAATTAAAATTACTTCTGTTAAATAATTAAAAAATACGAAAGCACACTCAAGTGATATTAGTAATAGTTGGTAAGGGTGTGCTACTGGGCTGACCCTTGGGCCCCCGAAAGCCGGGCACATGATAGCCCTTTTAAGCCAATTTTAAGGAATATGTTTATATCTTTTATTGGGTCAACAATCCTACTCCAACAACGCTTACAGCATTTTTCGATCTATGCAGAAGAGATGTATTTGCAAAAAATTTAGAAATACCTAGTCTAGAAGTATCAAGAAGTACCCCAATATTACACATGGGAAAAATACATTTTCCGGAAGGAAACGCGGGCAAGATGTTTATAGATTCCCCGGTGTAAAAAAGATACAGCTTTGGGCCGTGTAGACAATATTCATCCGACTCAAACCGAATGCTTTTATTTGTGAATGTATTGCAACATGTTCGCAGTCCAGCGTCATTTGAAGATCTTAGACCCGTCAATGGTATTATTTTACAGACATATCAAGGCGCCTGCAAGAGATTAGGTTAATTGAAAGGAGATAATCTTTGGGAAAATATTCTATCAGACGCTGTTTAAATGTGTGAGATATCAGAGTTAAGAGAATTAATTACCACAAATTTAAGAGAATTATTTACTATCATCCTCATATCTTGTCAGCCATCTGACCCCTTCGGGATATGAAGTAAATTTCGTAATAAATAGAAATTGTAATGTCATTCAGAATATGACATACCAATTTAATGATTATATATATATATATATATATATATATATATATATATATATATATATATATGTATGTATATGTATATGTATATGTATATATGATGAAGGACTTATGATGATTGAAGATAAGGTTCATGAGACGTGTGATAAATCTTTAACTGAGTTTGGACCTCCAGCATCGAATAGGAATAATTAAAATAGTAATATGGATCCGATCCGAAGTTGTATCAGCGATGCAACATAAATGCATCGATCGAGCACCGATTGACCAGAAAGGGAGCTTATGCTAATTTTATTAAATAAACGCGGTACTCATGTACAAAACAGAAATTCTCGATATCGTAGGGTTAATATTAAAAAGTAAAAAGGCCCAATAATAATACAAGTCGGTCGTCCTTAAGATAAAATTATGGTATTTTCGCTTAGTTTTATTACGATACTACATACTACACACTATGCAATAATGGTACAAATAGGATAATTATACTACGAAATCCGACCCTGGTTAAGTCGTGTTATGACGTTTGTAATACGACAGATGCGCTACTTTTTCTTGTATGAAAAAGTTATGAGTAAAATATTGTTGCGCGCCATATTTAATGCCTGGTACATGGCACTAGCGCCATCTAGTATCGAGTAGTAAAACTAATCTTTCTAGATAATTCCATACTAGAACTTTCTACACCTAATCAGTTGGGACCGGTACGTACTCGAACATTCTAGATGTTTCAGTAGAAGTGGGCGAATACTTCGAAGCGATATAACTGCGAACAAAAGTGATCAGTGTGATTTATTTATTGTTAATGTGTTTTAAGTTGTAATTGGTGTTCGGTAATTAAAGTGTCAATTTTAGTAATTCAATCAGCAGTTTTTATTGTCACGAACCTCAAGCTCGTAACTCAACTCGTATTATGATGGGCGGATCCCTCCTTTTGAAATTATTGGTTTTAGGTTTTGTAGTCTGAATAATTACTTCCGTTGCTACAACCGAACATTAAATGTTATTATTTAAGATGTCCACCTACTATATTATTATACTATTTCTCCCCAGATTTGTGATGCGTAACCTGGTACTGATTTCAAGGTTACGCATTAGCAGAACTGGGACTTCAACTTTAATCTCTAGCTTATGCGAAAGTACGCCCGTTAATTCAAATGAGTTGAGAAACTCGACTGAGTAATCGGTACAATGGCAACAAATAGTACTCGTATAACAGTTTATAGTGATCAGTTAGTGCTGTCGCCACCACATACGAAAACTCGATGTCTGATCACAATATATTAATTTTGTGATCGGAGCATCACCAACCTACGAAACCGTTAGATATCATCTTGCATTGCGTATGTTTATAATATGGCTGGCAGACATCGGTCGCTTAATGTGAATGTGTTAATTTGGCGACATCGGTTTTGGAAATAATCGAGCGCTAATTCATTTCTATTGTCTTATTATTACCATTTCTGTGGTCGGGACCAACGGGCCTACAAAGACTGATTTCTATGTAAGTGTCAGACAGCGTGTTTGACTCCTCCATGGCTGGTCAACCTTTTTATGGACAGTTGTTTTGACAGTGAATGTTGAAAAATGTGGGTTACGAGTAATAATGGGTTAGTTAATTGTGAAATGCGTTTGGTACGTCCACGATTAAATCAAATTTGCGTCGCTGGCGGGCATATAATAACAATATTGTAGTGTAAAAAAAATATTGTAACAAGATAATTATAAATATTATAATAAATTAATGTTTAGCAGACGGTAGGCATAACATCAATATAGAAATAAGAATAAATGCAGTACAAACTGTAAGATTAGGTTCATAGAAATTTTATTCTTATCAAAAACAATTATTGTCACTTACGTGAGAACATTTAAATAATATAAAAGATCATACAAGTACGGTGAACGCAAGGTACATTATAACGTTTTACATACAATAATGCTATATTCATTATGCTTTAATAAT